GTGCATCAATAAAATAAATGTTTAGTTTTATACTTAAAAAATAGGTTAGTAGAGGCAAATACAAAAATGTATATATTAATTTCTTTAATACCGTTCGATTTTTATATCGAAAATTCTTTTTAAATTCGTCAGATACCAAAAAATAACATAATTATATTAAATATTTCATATTTTGACTAACTTTGTGTCATATAATTAATGTGAAAATCAGTAAGGAGTGTTAGTTTTTGTCCCAGAGAAATGAACAAGGCTTTTATTCGCACCGAAGAATTCAGAAGTGTTTTTTTTCGCCCTGTAGAAATTTGGAATTTTTTTCGTCCGGAAGCTCAATTGTGTTCATTTTCGTACTACCCGTCGTTGGGCGTAATAACGAATTTGATTACTACTTTAAAGCACAGCATTGTTTTGCGCAGAAGCATATATATATATATATATTCATTTAGTTTATATTGGTTTACATATTATGTAAAACTGAATGATTCTACTCGCAGCAATGAAAAGCAGTAAATCGAATTCGCTATAACTGTTGAAGTGGTTTAGTTTAAGCTTTCTCTATACTTTACGCCAGATGATGTAAACGTAAATCTGTGTGCTTCATCCCTCGACTGTTGGGTTCTACACAGTAAAAACCCGGGCTCAAAATGATCCAGCTAGCAGGATCATTTTGATCCGCAGAAAAAATTAGTCAAGTAGGTGGCGCCACGTTTTATGTTGTTTAGCATTGGCTCAATGTCCATTTCCAGCAGAACACTACCTATACTTATTTCGCACTCGCTTTGTCGTCAGTTTTTGATACAACTAAACACTTTATTTGCATGGTTCCGTCTTAAAATATAGCAAGGAGGCATGCAAATACAGTTCTCGGTGGTACCCAAAATTGACGGCAAAGTGAGTGCAAAATAAGTATAGGGTAGTTTTCTACTAGAAAGGCTTAATATTTTTCTTCGTGTAGACATATTTTTCCTAGGTAATAAAACTTATAAATCGTGGATCTCAAGTACTACACCTTCTTCAACCACTTTTGCGATCTTCGCAGTGAAAGCACCTTTCTCAGAATCGTTTTCGATTTTGTTAAAGTCTCGCTTCTACCACACTCTTTTGTTGATGTTTTGATTTAGCGTACTATGAAGTTTGTTCAGAACGTTAGCGTTCGGCGAATCTAATCACCATCGCTGATTCTCTTGACGCTTTCTATTGTGACTTCGGTGTCTTCGTTTCCTTGACATCCCTTATTTCAGAAGGTGCTTCTTCAGTTACCATCTATTGCCTCTGGTCTACTAGGGCTCCTTTCGCGTTTCCTAGTCTTCACGGCTGAACCCTTTATTGCTCTGGTTTGAAGACTTTCTCTCTCTCCTTTCGTTTCGCATCTCGTGGTTTCTCAAGCTGCACCTATAGTGCACTATGCAGGCTTCCTGATGTTTAGCGCTCGCCTCCTCAATAATGGTTTGAAGGTTCTTCACCTCGTCCCCCTACTGCAAATTCCTTTAAGGATTCCTTACAGGTATCCTATGCATAGGATCCTTCATAGGATAGTATATAGGATCCTTTATAGATGCCACATATATAAAAAATGTAAGAGACGCCTTTAATGATTACCTACGTAGGATTCTATAGAATAGATTACGTAAACTACGTAATCCTACTAAAACAAACATATTCGATATTATTATATTCTTTATATATAAAGGATATAATAATATCGAATATGTTTGTTAATTGTCTATAGGATTCTGTATCACTATTAAAAATCGGATTATATAACCTTATAACAGAAAGATTAAAATTATATAGTTTCAATCTCAATAAGTGTGAATGATTGCATTTCATTGCGGATTAATTGAAAACTTAAAGCCAAATGAAATGCAAGCATTCCCACTTTTCAAGATTGGAAATATATAATTGAGGGTCCTGATCAAATAACTCGACCGACGCTCGGGCGAACGCTCTATTACCAGTCAAGTAGCAGTAATAGCCTGTGGGCGACTCACTGCTACCCGACTACCATTAGAGCGTTCGTCCAAGCGTTGGTCGAGTTATTTGATCGGGACCCTCAATTTCAGTCTTTATGGTATAAAGTTATAGTCCGACTTCTAAGAGTCTACACTGAAAAAAATTTATTTGATTCAAATACTCGATTACTTGGCTATTATCAAATAAATATTTACTTGACCCAAATAATTTTTATTAGAATTAAAAAAATTTTATTTGAACCAATAATTTCTGCACGAAGAAAAATGGAAAAATGAATAAAGTAAGTTTTACTATATACTTTAAAAGTAAAATCGGAACTGTCCGCAGTTTCTGCGAATTCCAGGCAATTTTTACTTCAGAAATAGTAAAATTTACTCCTAAAATAGTAAAAATTATTCCGGAAATAGTAAATTTTACTATTTTTGGAGTAAAAATTGACAGAAATGCGCAAAAACTGCGAATAGTTCCAGTTTTACTTTTAAAGTAGTAAAATTTACTTTATTCGTTTTTCCATTTTTCTTTGTGCAGAAATTATTGGTTAAAATACAATTTATTTAATTCTAATAAAAATTATTTGGTTTAAGTAAATGTGTATTTGATAATATTCAAGTAATAAAGTATTTTAATCAAATAAATTTCTTTTTCAGTATATAACATTTAAAAACGTTATATTTATCATAAGAAGAACCAGTAAGTTTTTTCTAAAGGATCCTATGTATAGAATGTAAGGAATCCTTAAAGGAATATCCAGTAGGGCCTTTAACGTTCGGTTAATGCATTAACTGAACGTGTTCTTCTCAAAAACTTCGCTCTTTTTAAGAACCTTTTCCTCGATCCTCTCTATAAGTCTATACTTTTTCTCTCTGAATTTGAATTGGTAAAAATTTTAACTAATTTGAATTAGTGACTCTTTTTTTGCTTTTAAATTAGTAAAATTTAACTAATTCAAAAGCAAAAAGTTAGTCACTAATTCAAATTAGTTAAAATTTTTACTAATCCCTACCTTACTAAGTTTTATTTATTCGAATTTAGAGTATATATATAGTTATATTTCAATTGCAAAAATAAAGTACATAAATTATAGAATATAATCCATGCACTTTATTCATTAAATTAATCAATTAATTATTAATCACATGCAACATTTTAGAATTTCCAATAAGGTACGTGATAAAATTTAAATACTCTGCTTTCATGTGCATTCAGGTAAATGAATAATAAATGGAATTTAGTTCTCGGAATGCTATTGTTTCACTTTATGTTTAATGAAACAATATTAAATTCATATAATAAATAAAATATAATAATAATAATAATAATAATAATAATAATAATAAAGTAATTTTATATGTGTTAAAATCTTTATGACCATATTATATCGTAAATTATAGCATATGTTATATTATTTATTAATTGTATGTATATATTGCAGGTGATCGAATCCTGAATACTTATTGAAATTTAATAGTCTAATTAACGTAACGTCGATTACTTTATCTGCTGTCTCGTTTAACGGATCGCTTACCCTTCTCCTCGTTCTACAAATTGAATTACACTTCTCCAACATTATCTCTGTTATTTGACTTTACAATAGAAAAGAACAAAATGAAAATCATATTAATGGATAAAACAGTTTTAAATTCTTCTCCTACTTTTTTTTTACTAATTAATTACTGTTTTTATGATTTTCATAAAATTACTTGTAGTGTATTATGCAACTTAAAATGCTTTATTCATATTTTCAGCTTTATGGTAGATTTTTTAGAAGTACATACATATATTTAAAGAGTTTACAAGTGAGTTTAAAAACCCTTCATTAAATTTTTTTTTATTGATAATAAAATGATGACTAGTTATATTCTTTAAAAACTGAAATTTTATATACAAACGATTTGTCACAGAAAAAAATTTAATCGATAAATGCGATCATTTGATTGAGACAACGCGAAGTATATTTTTAATTTAATATAATTATTATTATTGTACACATACAATAACATTATTAATAAATAATTATTTTATAATATTTATTTTAATTATTATTATAGTTATAAATTTGATTTTACATAATGTTCATTTAGTATAATTTGCATTTCATATAATTATCACTTTGATATAAAATGCCACCATATAGCACCGAAACTTTCCTAAAGATTTATTTGAAGTGTTCGGAATATTTAATTGCAATGTTTAGTGAAAATTGTATAAAGATTTAAATGTCCCACTTGAATAAATGTTTAGCGCGAAACTTTCCTGAAAATTTCATTTAAATGTTCAGGAAAGTTTCACAAAATTTTACACTAAACATTTATTTAATCGGGACATTTAAATCTTTACACAATTTTCACTAAACATTGCAATTAAATATTCCGAACATTTCAAATAAATCTTTAGGAAAGTTTCGGTGCTGGGGGGGGATGTATTTATTATTTTTTTTTTACTTTATTTATTTATTTTAAAGCATAATTATCATTTGGATTAATGATCATTCACCAGTAATTATTTTTTATCTTATTACTTTTTAATTATATTTATAGGTGTTAATTTAGCTTTTTTCCCTCAACATTTTTAAAGATTAAGAGGACGTTATTCTGATTATCCGGGGATATTAAAAATATCTAAAGTAAACGGGAATCCGATTTATGTGGGTTCTTCTGTATTATGTATTATTTAGCAAACATTTTTTTTTTTTTTATTACGAAATGTACTGCAATGACTATAATATACCTATATATATATATCTATACTTCAATATAGGAACTTTCACCATACACTTTGACTTCATTAATATCAAAATACATCCAATGATTGTAATCTTATCTTGATTATACATAGAATAATACAAAAATAATACTGCTTTACAATGTATAATTAAATATACATAGATATATCATCACATCACTAAAAAATCATGTCAAAAAATGTATAGAAAAAATTATCATATCTACATAGGAATAAGTATAGAATATCACCATAAAGGGTCAATTAATAAATTAATAAAAACATAAAAGTAATAAAAAATACTTTACCATATATTCTATAAAAAAGAAAATTATAGAAATATTTTTTTGAAAAAAAAAACTAATTAATATACAAGAGGTTAGGTTATCTTCCGTTGATGTAAAAGCAGTTTCCGATGTCACTAACCGCAGTAAACAGGTATATAATGTTCATGTTCGCGGAAAAACATTCATGACATATGAAAAGTCCGAGGGGCACAGCATGGAAATCACGGAAAAGCAAGTGAGCGAACGAACGGTAGGAGAAAGAAAAGCGGGTAAGCATCGGATATGCGCATGCGCACGCGGTACGATTTCTACGCTTGAGCCGCGTCGTCACAACGCAGAGAGAGACCAGGGAGAGACGATCAGAATGCATCAGTGACGTTTTAAAAAGCCTCGTCTAGTACTTTGGGACGGGCAGAAAGAAGCTTCTGCGATGGACCAAACGAAAACGCCAGTTTCTCGGCTTCTCAACACATCCTGCGTTGAGAATAAGGACGATCTTGAAGAGGTAATAAATAATAAATAAATAACGTATCGAGTACTATGTACGCCATTGTTTTGGCGACACCATTTTATAGTGCGGGGGCGCCACGTGTTTTTTGTCGTGCGGGAACTTTGAATTTTTTTGATTAAATAAAAAAAATATTTGCCAAGTGTTAATTATAATGTTAAAAACAAAAAAAAGTGGTTTCTTTCATTTTCTGTGATTGTTTTGTTTTTCAACATTGAAATAATTGTATTTTCAGTGTATTTACTTTTGTGGTAAAGGATGTATTTTTTTTCAAGTGTATGGGTCATTCCAGAAAGATATGGCAATATTTTTTTTTTTTTTTTGAATGTATAGAAAATATTTTTTATTTAATAATAATTATTATTATTCAATGCTTTTTTTGGGTAAAGTTTTTTATTAAGAAAAAAAATTGCTTTTTAGACAATTTTGAGGTTAAGAATGATACGATAAACAATGTTTTGAAAATTATTTTTAATATAATTATGAGACTTTTTGCAATTTTTGTTTAAACACAAAGTTTTTTTTATATAATATTTTGACAGTTAAACAAAAATAAATATATATATATAACTAAATATTTAAATTTTGTTTTCAAAGTGCTTTTTCCATTCATGGACATAAAAAAAGATGTTAGATAATAATTTTTTTAAGATTATTATTGAATTATTGCTTGTAAATATAGGCAAACATTGAAGAAAAAAAAACATTAATCATTTTTATGTCTTGCAGCATTTTTAATTTTTTTAAAACTGTTTAAAAACGATGTTTCTTTTTAATAAAACATTAAAAATTAAATAATTGAATGTAATTTAATTAAATTTATTAATTTACGATATTGTTTTTTTAATAGTTACTGAATCATATCTGAAATGACTCATTAATATAATATTTGTAATAATCAAAACTTGTGAAAAAAGTTTAGTTTTATTTATAAAAATTTTCTGAAGAAGATTAAATTCCTCTTTTATTTGTAATTAATGAAAAAAATGTAAATTGAAGGACTCGAAAGTTTAGCCAATTTCTGTCATGTTTAGTTTTGTTATTAAAATAGAGAAAATGTTTTTGTTTAAACAAAAATTGTTGCGTTTAAAAATACTTTTGCATTAAATTTTATATTTAATTGCAAAATAATTTTTAATAATAAAATTTGAAAACATTTTTATAATAATTCTAACCTCTTTAAAAGTTTAAAGGCGATTTTTTTTTCTTTAAAAATGTATTAAAGATATTAATGAAATTGTCATTAAAAGATTAATATCTTTTATTTTAATAAATAGTGTAAAATAATCATTATAATACATCCTTTAAACATTTTATATTAGATTTCTATTTTTGGGGAAATTTCTATTATAATACTATTAAAATATTACTTGAAAAGCATTTTTTGCGATAATAGTTTGAAAATTTTTGTACTTACTAAATTTAAATTAGTTAAAAATAACTAATATGATGAGAAAATTTTAGTCACCGACTTAAATAGTATTTCTACTAATTATTTATAGTTAAAAATAACTGTCAGTTAAATTCATTTTTAGGTTATGTCAAAATAACGGAAATTTCGGTAAATTTCTATTAATTAGATCAATTAGTCAAATTTAAATATAATTGTTCTATTTTTACTCATTTATTTTTTTATTAGTATTATTATTATTTTTATTTACTAATAAGTCGGTTTTTGCCAACTAATTTTTGATATAATAAGAAATTAACCAAAATTTTACTGAGTTATTTGTTATCGGTCGAACCTATTTCAATTCTATTATCAAATCAAACATTTACCATTGAAATATAAATTTTTAGAGAAATTTAGATGATTTTAGTTTTTTGACAAGAGAGGAAAATAATTAGAGGAAAATACTGTAAAATTATTTTGGAATTATTATTTTTTTTATATAATTCTTCCTATTTCCATATTCAAAAATAATTTTCAAAGATTTTGGATTATTTAAACAAATTTTTCAATAAAGAAGATGGCTGTTTTTTTTTTGTTTTTTATTTAAATATTATTTTTTCATTAAAGTTTATTTTAATATCGCGTCCTGGTAAAGAAAAAAACTTTTAATAAATAAAAACGAAGCTGAAGTACGCAACGTTTATGATAAACGATTTTTAAAGAAACAATTTTTTAAAATGAAAAATTCTATAATTTTTTGTCTGAAAAATATAATTTTTTTACAATTTTTTGATTAATGAAAACTACAAGAAATATTTTTTAGGCGAAAAATTATAGAATTTTTGATTTTAAAAAATTATTCCTTTAAAAATCGTTTATCATAAACGTTGCCTACTTCAGCTTCGTAAATAAAAACTAAAAAGCAGATTCGATCAAATAATTCAGATTTAGTAAATGGTAAATTTTATAAGTATTTTATTTTTTTTTTATTTTAAATCAAGTGACAATGTAAAGCGAACTGAGATGATAATTTTTAGTCACAGGCCTGTTTAAATTTGTATATCAGCTGTAAAGATTACTGTGTAAATTTACACGAATTTGCTAAGTGTGTTATATTAATAACTTTACATTTTTCGTCAGTCACTTAAATGTCCTTGATTGTAAAGTACATTTTAAAAAAAGAAAACTAACAAAAGTGTATTTTCAATTACACTCCAAAAGAAAAAAAAATGATTTATTTTAAAGATAAATATTTACAATATTTACTTTCTACTTTCAGAAATTCGAAAGATGCTATTTGGTACTGCAAAATTTAACTGCAGGACTATCAGAGAAAGAAGCGCACGACACATTAAATAATGCCGTTTGTAAGGAGAAAACATATGAGGAGGTTTCATTGGGATTACTCGTGGTAATTCTATCGGAACCACAAAATGCTGCCAAAAGTTACAGGGACTTAAATTTGATTTCAAAAGATGGCTTAAATATTGTTTTAAGCCATCTCAATCAATTAGTGTTGGAAAGATATTTACGATTAAATGATGTCGCCAGAAATCAATTACTTTGGTTATTACGAGAAATGATAAGAAATAGTGTTGTGAGTGTTGATACGCTGTGTTTAAGTTTATTGAGGCACGCGGCCGGAGGCGATACATCGCCACGTAATTTATTTCTCGTCGATGCTCTTTTAGATGTTTTTCAAGATAATAGACCATGGTTGGACAAATTTCCCATTTTAATAGCATCAATTGTTTATACTTATCTTCGATTAATAGAAGATCACAGTGCAGCACATTTATCAAGTCTTAGGCAAAAGGAAGTCACCTTTATGGTGAATCTCATTCGAGAGAGATTGATTGACTGTCTAGTTATTGGAAGGTATTATTTTATTATATCAAAACTTTTTTTTTTTTTTTTTTTAAAAAGAATTAAACCACTGTTTTTTGTTTTAGAAAATTTTTAAATTTAACCAAAAATTGACAAGACTGAAGTCCACAACGATTAGAAAACAAATTGTTTTTAAAAACTGTGAATTTTGTATGTAAAAAATATTTTTTACAATTTTTTGATCAACAAATATTGCAAAAAATATCTTTGAGATAAAAATTTATAGAAATTTTTCATTCAAAAAAATACTTTTTTAAAAATTGTTGATCATAATCGTTAACTTCAGTATTATTTTGTTTTGACGAGTTCTTTTAAAAATGTTTGTAACTTCAAATCTTGAGAATTCATCTCTAACACAAAACTTTCTCTATCTTATTGAACTCAACAATTTTCCAAACATTGACTTTAGACAACAGCTTTAAAAAGTGACTGAATTTTTTTTAACATTTGAGCTCAACTTTGCCGAAATTTTTAATTTCAATAATTTTCATAAGTGAGATTTAAAAATAATTTTAATAAAAATAATAATTAATAACTAAGTTAATTTATTAATTGATTGAATTTATTAAAGGTAAAAATTCCACTTTTTCGATTTTTCTTCTAAAGTAAATTGACTAAAACGACTTTATTTGCGCCTAAAAGTCAATCCAAGGCCTGCAAATTAAAATGGAGTAGCTAAACTCATTTCTTAATATTGCATAACATAGAATAATTAATTAATCATTCATTATAATTAAAAAACATAATTACTATCTTTGATTTAGGGTAATATTTGAAGATAATTTTAATTATTCTATTTTTTAGGGTATTTCCTTGCATTCAGAAAAAAATATTATATAACCTTTCGAAGAATTAAAATGTTTTTCTAAATTATATACTTTAGAAGAAAAAAATGACGATTTACAAGGAAAACATTTTTTCTTCTAAAATATATAAATTAGTATTTTAGTTCCTTGAAAGGTAATATAATTTTTTTTCTGAATTATCTAGCAAGAGAAAACCTTAAATTTTAATTTAATTAATTAATTTTATTATTTGTTTGACTAATTGAAGAAAAATTGGATATTTTTATAAAGAAATAAGATTGAAATTTATTTATGATTTAATTTTTATAAATAATACTTGAAAAAGTTTTTAGGAAAAAAATAATTGAAATTTTACTAAATATCTATTTTACTGAATTTTAAACCTGGAAATTTTGTCGTATGAATTATTGTTTTTTTTAAATTAATGAAATTAAGTAATTTATTTTTTAATAATTATAATTAATATTCAATAACTTTTTATTCAATTATATGGCTTTTTAAATTATTTTATTAATAATTAATGTTGAAATATTTATTACCTAACTAATTTAATTTGTTATATAAATATCAGGCGTCGAAGTAACACACTTTTTTATACTTTTTTACTACTAATTTTGGCCAAAAGTCACTGAATGCTAAATTTTTCAAAAAATAATTTTAAAAACGACAGAATTTTAAATTTTAGCGAATTTTTTGATTTCTAACAGTTGATGATTTATTATGGGCCGCGTGAACTACTGCTTTATATAATTATTTTTTACATGAATTTTCATTTTTTAAAATCGCATTTAACATACTTTCTTTTTAAACGACCTTTTACTCAATAGAATTTTAAATTTGTCAAAGTTTTTTTTGGCAGAATTTTTATTTTGCAAAATTACCTATATTTACCAAACTGTTTTTTTTTAATTAATTCTAATTTAACCAAAATTCAGATAATAATTGAATTTTAGAGTATTTTTAATTGAATGTTTTAAATAATTGAAATGCCAAGATCTTGATTAAAGTTATTAGAAATAATTATTTCAACAAAAAATTTGTATCATTTTTAATAATAATTGAATTTCAGGAGATTTTGAATTAAAATTTTTGTAAATTAGAATTGCTGAAAATTATTAACAAAGTTTCAAACAGTAATTGAATTTTACTGAATTTTTAAATAAAAAATGTTTTATTTCATTGAATTTTTGAATAATTGGATTGAAATTATTAATTTAGCAAAGAATTTTAGATACATATTTTAGAAATAATTGAATTTTCGGAGGACTTTTAATTAAAATTGTTGTTTTAAAATACTAAATATTTTATAGAAGCTTCCGATTCCAAGTTCAAGGATTTAAAAATTCAAATTACTCAAAATTCTACTGAATGAGAATATTAATAAATTAAAAATAGGTTAAATTAGAATTCTTTTCAAGAAACAGTTGGGTAAAAAGTTGGGTTTTGTAAAAATAAAAATGCTATCAAATAAAAATTCGGTACTTTAAAGTTCCGTTTACATTCGTTTAAAAAAATTTTCTAAAATAAAAATTTATGTGAGAAATCATATTTATGGAATAATCATACGATTAATTGAAATTTAATAATAGGCAGTTTTTTTTAAATAATCAGGAGAAAAATGATGTTAATTTTATTTCTCAGAATTTTTCTTTCAATTTTTTTAGACAAGAAAATATTTATACTTTAAATTTTACTTCATTTTTAAGGATGACACTATTTTGATACTTTTTTTTTTAAATTATACTTTTTCATACTTTTCTTAATCTCTTACTACGCTTCGAAGCCTGAAATAATAAATTTAGAAATTGATATTAGAGATTTTAACAATAAGTAAAATAATTTTTCGTTGTTAAATTGTAATTTCTGAATAATAATTTAATTTTCTTCTCCTTCAGGGATCTAGTACGCTTATTGCAAAATGTCGCAAGAATACCAGAATTCGAAGCATTATGGAAGGATCTACTGCTTAATCCGAAGTCGCTTTGTCCAAATTTTACAGGTGTATTACAACTTTTACAAACAAGAACATCGCGTCGATTTTTACAGTCGCGACTCACACCCGACATGGAGAGAAAGTTGGTATTCCTAACGAGTCAGGTGCGTTTCGGCAATCATAAACGATATCAGGACTGGTTTCAAAGGCAATATCTCGCCACCCCCGAATCTCAATCATTAAGATGTGACCTCATACGTTTTATCGTTGGCGTCATTCATCCCACGAATGAACTATTGTGTTCGGACATCATTCCCCGATGGGCAGTTATTGGTTGGCTTTTTACAACTTGCACATCAACCGTTGCAGCAAGTAATGCAAAATTGGCTCTCTTTTATGATTGGCTATTTTTCGATCCCGAGAAAGATAATATCATGAATATTGAGCCGGCAATTTTGGTTATGCACAATTCAATGAGATCACATCCTGCTGTCACTGCCACACTTTTAGACTTTTTATGCAGGGTAAAAAAAAAGAATTTTTCATTTTTTTTTTTTTTTTTTGGCAAAAACAAAAAAGTAATTGGAAGAGCAATAAAAAATGATTATTAATTTTTCAGATAATACCAAGCTTTTATCCAGCGCTAACGGAAAAAGTGCGTAATGGTATATTTTCATCATTGAGACAAATTTTGGAAAAAAGAGTTTTGCCTACACTAAATCCATTGTTTGACAGTCCAAAATTGGATCGAGAATTACGGACTAAAATTAGAGAAACGTTTAAAGAATTTTGCCTACCACCAAACGCTGATATTGGTGAGATGTTTTTTTCTTAATAATTAATGTTTTTTACACTTGCACGTGGTATATTGTTTTTAAATTGACACGAAAAAAAAAATTGTGTGTAGAGTGTGAATTAGAATAGCCTTGTCATATTAGTTAACTATCATTTTTTTTTAAATACTGCACTGGTGGTACATCATTATTATATATTTTAAGAAAGAATTGGATAGTTTTTTTTATTTAAAAAAAATAACTTGGACCAACGTTTGTTTGGATTTTATTTATTCAATTCTTTCTTAAATCATTTTGGTGGTTTTTTAATCAATTGCTTTCATTTGTTTTACCCACAACTAATATTTAGTGCATTAGGAGAAATTGTTTTAGCACCTCCATTATTGAGCACCATCACAACGCTTACTAACTTTGGTTTTTGCACGATGTTCTTAAACAGGTAATAAGCTTCAAATATATTCAGGTAAAATGGAGGAACTTAGTAAAGATCTAAGTCCAGGACTGATGTTGGAGAATACGGGGAACGCAATGACGGAAAACAATCATGTGGGAGGTGAAGCCGAACCCGCCTTTAGCGATGAAGAAGAAGAAATGCCCTTGAGGTGTGTAACGAAAAAAAAAATTGTTTTCTATTTTTTTTTATATATTAAATTTCATTTCTTTTCTAAAACAGGGTATTGATTTGAGTTTAAAATTATCTGAATTTAAATTTCAAATTATCAAATTCAAATTAGTTTCAAATTAACCGAATTTTAATTTATCTAAAATTTAAATTGATTTAAGTTTTATATTATTATTTGTATTTTAATTTACCCAAATTTTGATTGGCTTAAGTTTTTTTTTATGTAAAATGCAATTTATACCAAATTTAAAACTATTAATGCTTCAATCAATGATGAAAAAATTTTTTTTTATCACCTATTTGTCACCTGTTTTCAAGAGAAAAAAGGTACTGCGATCGCTATTCCGGTAAAAAGAGTAAACTATAGTAGGAAAACACGTTTTTCTAACTTTCAATTATTAGATTTCTATTATAATTCATTAAATTCATTAAGAAAAATTTTTCTCAGGAAAAATTTTGTAATGCCAAGGCAGGCCTTGGATTATACGACTTTTTTTCGAAAATACGATTTTTTTTCGACTTATTTTAATAAAATTCTACTTTTTTTGTACATTTTTTAGAAAATTTTTAAACAAAATACAAATATTTTTCAGGTTTTCTTTATTTCAATTATTTAACAAATTTGTAACTAGAATTCTTCTCTAAATTAATTATATTTAATAATTTTAATACAATTTTATGAATTTATGAAATTCAATAATTGATTAAAACTAAAAAAAAACAGCAAATAAAATTACCAAAAATTTCAATTTAAAATCACTTAAAATTCAATTATTTTCAAAAATATGAATTGTAAATCTTTGAAAATTCAATTCTTTTTAAAAAAGGTTATTTAAAATTATATGATAAATTATTTTCAATTCTGTAAAATTTAAATATTGTCTTAAATAGTTAACTTTTTCAAAATCATTTGAAATTCAATTATTTATAAATAAAATTTCATCTGTAATTCTTTCAAAGTCAATTATTTTTAATGATTTTTATAATATTCTTTGAAAATTCTATTATCTGAAAGCATTCTCCATTTAAGAACTTTTGAAATTCAATTTTTATCTGTAATTTCTAATAAATTCTTCAGTAACAGAATTCACCAAAAATTTCAATTAAAAATCACTTCCAGATCAATTATTTTCAAAAATATCAATTGTAAATGTTTGAAAATTAATTTTAAAAAATGTTTTCTAAAATTATTTTATAAATTATTTTCAATTCTGTAAAATTGTCCAAAATTTTATTGTCTTATTGTCTAAAATTTATCAAAATCTTTTGAAATTTAATTATTTCTAAAAATTTTAACAGTAACTTTTCCAAAATTCAATTATTTTTAAATAATTTTAATATTTCATTAAAAATTCAATTATTTAAAAAAATTTCAAGTAAAATCTCTAACATTGAATTATTGGTAGAAATTTAAAAAACACTAGGTACATCAGTTTAAATTTACAGACAATTTTTTTAAAATTTAAAATCTTTTGCTATTCAATTATTTAAAAAAAATAAATTTAAAAATCTGTAAAACTTAATTATTGGCCGAAATTTTTTTTGCCCATTAAAACTAAAAAGTATGCCAAAATTTTTAACCCGAATAAATTGTTTAGGGTCAATTGGGGTAAATGGGGACAAGAGGTTTTGGAGCTTAATTTACAGTTTTAAAATGAAGTTCAACGTCAATATTTTAACCTCAGATCACCTGCAAGAGGTTTTGAGTATTGCCAAGCTTTTATCTTGACAATTGGCAGCAAGATAAAAAAAATTATCGCTCAATGCATAAAAACTTGAAAATCAATATTTTGTCGAGCATTTCAAAGAAAACAGACTTAAAAATCATACCAAATTTTTTTCTTATTCCTTATGTCTCCCATAACAGAAATTCACTTGAATTTTTGATTTTTGTTAATTTGGTTAATAATGACAAGCTGTCCCTATTTACCCGGAGTTTTCAAATTTTTGGGGTAAATGGGGACAGCTTGTCATTATTAACCAAATTAACAAAAATAAAAAATTCAAGTGAATTTCTGTTATAGGAGTCGTAAGCAATAAGAAAAAAATTTGGTATGATTTTTAAGTCTGTTTTTTTTCAAATGCGAGACAAAATACTGAAATAAAAAAAAATTAAAAAAATAAAAAAAATTTCAATTGGTTTAACTACTATATATCTACTACAAATTTTTTTTCAAGTTTTTTCATCCCTTAATACAGTAATATACTTAAGGAAACTTTTTTCTCAAAACTTTCTTATTAACTATGCTGTCCCCATTTACCCCAAATTTTATGAAATTTTCTAAATCTTGGGGTAAATGGAGACAGTCAGTTTCATGCGTTTAAAGCTTATCTAAATTGTTTTCTGCTGCATAAAATTAATTCTGGGAACGTAAATAACAAGTTAAAAAAAATAAACCCACAAATGTTACCTTTTAAAGGAAAAAATTTACGTAATTTGTGAAAAATAGCGATTTTATCCCCATTTACCCCAACTGACCCTATATCATACTTAAAAAAAATTTTAAAATGAAACTTTAAAAATGTTTTTAAGAAATTTGTCCTACTTAATCAAAATTTTGAAAATTTGTGTTAATTCGAATTAATGAAATGAATTTAATATATACAAACATTAGTTATTTAAAATAAAATAATTAGCAACTAATTATAATTGGTTAAAATAAAAAAAGTCAAGTTTTTCAACTTTTTCCGGAATGTAAATCGAATAAGGAAATATCAGGAAATTGAAAAAATGTATTCTTATGGCAATCCTGGAAAAAATATCTAATTTTGTATTTATATTTTTATTTACAGGATAGTGACAAAGTCTGAAGATACTCATGACGTTGACATCCCATTGGCAAAAGTGAAACCATTAAAAAATGAAAAGAACGTGAATTGTGTTTCAAAAAAAGAAGACATAACAACGCAGTTAAATTTAATTTTAGAGCCCGATGAATTGAAGACTGCAATAGAAAGTTTACATGTGGAAAGTGATAATGAATCGAGATGCCAAACAATGGAAAGGATAGTGCAAATGATTGTTGAAGATGAAATTGACACTGAAACAATACCGGCATTAGCTACTTGTATTTCTTCCATTCTTACAACGCAAATAACAGCTGACATATTTCCCGCTGATAATCTTAATGAAGAAGCTTTTGCCGACAGTATAAGTACACCACTATTTGTTATGTTTAGAAATCAATTTCAACTTTGCAAAGAAGTTGATAATCGAAGAAAATTGTTAGCGAGAGTATTAGCCGAGATACAATTGATTCAACCTAGGATAGGTTATCTTCTCTTGTATTTTTTGAAAGTCTGGGGTAGAGAAGAAGAGAAACGAGAAGGCGAACCAAGGTAAATATTTATAAAGAAAAGAGTGGAGAATTTTATTTATCTTTAGAGAATCTTGAAAATTTTTGCCTTTTTACATTTTATTCATTGTTTTTTTTTTTTGGTTTTTTTCGCAGCAACGTATTGAATGACGTGAAAGCGTCGGTGTACAAGGATTTTTGTTCTCAACGAGAGAAGAAATTGGATTCTTGTTTAGTAACTGATTTAAAGGTAAGTTTTTATTATTTATTGAAGATTTGATGTTAATAATAAAATTTGATTTTTATTTTTCAGCTCTGTCATGAAGATAATATACCATTACTATGTTACCTTGTACCTGATGTTTATACGGAATTTCAAAATGTAGCATTGGGAAATGTTAATCTTTTACATTTAGTTGTATCGACTGTTGATCCATGTCAACTACAGGATCTAGTGTGTCAAATAATGCAGGGACATTTAAAAATGCTTAAGAAAGAATCCTTTTCATCTCTATTGACAGCGAGCTTAAATTGGGATACTTTCGAGCAATATTGTTTTTGGCAATTAATATTTGCACACGATTTTCCCATTGACTATGTACTTCCAATTTTACCAAAACTTCAATTTAAGGAAAATGCCGAAGCACTCACTTCAATTCTATTGATGCTCAAACAAGAAAAGTAAGTTTTCAATTAAAAAAATATCAATTTTTATTATTATATTATTATTACTATTAAAAAAAATGGAAAGAACAAAATTTTTAAAAAATTGATATTTTTCTCAGACCTTCGTTGGAATTATTGAAGCAATTGTTTACGCGTCAAAGTGCGGACGGTGATATGTTTGTTGCGTCGGCACTTCGATATTGGTGTCGTGATTATGAAGAGAAACTTGGTGAACTTTTGGCAAATTTATTGAGTACACGATATCCTGCCACAAGTCCAAATAAACGAAAGCGAACAGGACCAAAGCAAAATCAACAGTCGGGTCCACCGTCTGGTGAACAAGTTCTTGGTCATTTGGATCAATTGCGTCAGCAATGTTTGTCAGCGACGGAATTACAATTATATCAATCGGAGGGAATGCAACGTGCACTACAACAAGCGCAAGCTGCAAGTAGTGATTCATTGAGAAAAAGTTATGGTGATCTTTTTGCTCTTGCTGAAGTTAATGAAGAAAATCAACCACCGCCACCACCACCGCCAACAAGCTCATCGAGAAAACATACGTCAACATCAATTGGAAGTAGTACAGCCAAGGAAAATTATCGACGCGCTGGTGCCAGTACAAGGGAAAGAAATGCATTCAAGAGACAACCACCACGTGACAGAAATTCTGAGAGTAGCGAGCAAAGCAGTGAAGTGAGTTTCATTTTATTTTATACATTATAAATATCCCCCCATCAAAAGAGGAAAAAAAACATTATTTTGAATTACCCCGTGGAACTGATTTTATAAAGCAAGGTTGTTACAAGTCAGGGAATTTGAAAAAATGTTTTAAACCTGGATTTGCTATTATTAGGTATCTAACATGTTCATGTATTAAAAAGAGAGACCGGTGAAATTTCAACTCATCGAAATTAATGTTGTTAAGAGGTATCAATTTTTTTTCTGTCATTATTTGGGATCTAAAATAATTGTTAATTATCAAATTTAAAAAAAAAAATGTTTTTGATTGTTTAGAACCATGAAAAAAGCCTACAAAAAAATTACCGATAAAAAATAATAAAAATTGTAGAAGAAGTTGAATTTTTAAGGATTAATTGATAAAATTTAAACCAAACATAATTGGTTTGGTTTATGGGTAACAATTTTTTTTTTATTTTTTTAAAACCTGAAATCATATTTCACTATGAAAAATGAAAAAAAGTAATTTTTAACAATTGAATTGAGTTGAATTCTCCTTGAATATATATATATTTTTTTACCTTGAAAATAAAGCGTCTAAAGTTCCGAACGTTCAAATGAACGACATAAATTTTTTTTATAAATTACTACAGCAATGAAAAAAAAAATTAAGGTACATTAGACATTTAATACATTATTATTTTTGAATACAGAAAGCAACATTTTATAATAAAATTTGAATTTAAAAAAATAGTAAATAAATTTTTTGTTCATTTGAACGTTCAGAACTTGTGGCACATTGAAAATATTTAAATCATTTTGAATTTTAAAACAAAATCTTGAATTATTCAAATTTGATAAAATAATATAATTATAATTTAAAATACTACAAAAATCTCAGTTTAAATTAAATTCTTACACTTACCTTACTCAGGATTGCTACAGGAGCTGGAAAACCTGGAAAAGTCATAAAAATTTAAAAATTTTATTCCACTTAATATTTAAAAACAAATTTTTTTTTGAAAAATGAGTAATATTAAGTTATATCCACTTTAACGATTTAAAAATTTATTAATATATTAATTAAGTAAATATTATAGGCCAATTTTTCCACAAGAAACAGTTAATTTATTATATATATGAGGCATTCTCTAAAAACAGCCACCCCAAAAAAAAGTTCTTGGATTGACTTGATACTTTGGTAAATTATTGTCCTTTATGAAAGTATCAAAATCTCAAAATATAAACTTATTTTTCAAAACAGTATAAAAAGTAGAGGGGATTGAAGTTTTGATTATTATTCAGGTAACACGGTTATTTTCTAATTCGTATAGTTTTTGCAAAATTTTATAGATTTTAATTTATCATGAGGGTTTTTTTGCTCAGTTTTTCGAGTACTTTTCAATGTCTAAAAAGTTTTTTTCAACAAAAATTTTATAATAACCCTATTTTTCATTTTTAACCATTTTTTCCCCCTTAAAATATTTTATTTTTCTTTGAAAGCTGAGATTTAAAAAAAAAAAAAAAAAATATGTAAATATAAAAATGTGACAACATTAGGTTTAAGAGAAAATGTAAATAAAACCTATTTTTTTGCCCTGTTTTTTATATTTTCTCGACAACACAATGTTGTCCTATTTTTATTATATTTATGGGCGATTACACGTGAGATTTACATATGACATTTTAAATTCGGTAAATATTTTTTTTTTTGATCTTTATAGAAAAAAAAGGTTTACGTATTTTTTTATTTTTTTAAAAGTGCTCAAATTTTCGAGTTAGGATTTTTTAAAAATTTGATTTTTTCATGACGCTGAAGTTACCAACGTTGATTCGACGAATCAACGAACGAATTTTTCGTTTTCAGTTTAGTTTAAAGGCCAAGAACCAATTTTTTTAAATTTAAACTTCTTTATTTTGGTCCCAAATACATCCTTAAACACTAAAAATCCTTAACCAAGACGGGGAAATATTCAATCTGAGGAAAAAAAAAATTCTTTTCGTCGATTCAACGTTGGTAACTTCAGTATCATATTTTTTCGAGTTTTTTTTAAAATACACCTAATTTCAATTACATCTAACTCTAAAAGCATTGAATTTAGGAATTATGACCAAGATACAAAAAAGTTTCAGTTTTTCATCGACTTTCAAAATATGTTAACGAAAAAAATTTTTTTGAATTTGTTTATAAAAAACAGCGATTTTTTATAAACAAATTAATTTTTTTTAATTTAGGGGCGATTTAAAATTTTTTTTTTATTTTTACACACATTAAAATAAAAGGAAAATTTTGTAATAAGTTTTGGAGTGGGCCTGATGTTCCTTTTGTTTATATAATTTGTTTTAAAAAAAAATTATTTTTTTTCGTTTTTTTTTATTTAAATAAAATCGCTGTTTTTTATAAACAAATTCAAAAATTTTATTTCGTTAACATATTTTGAAAGTCGATGAAAAACTGAAACTTTTTTGTATCTTGGTCATAATTCCTAAATTCAATGCTTTTAGAGTTAGATGTCATTGAAATTAGGTGTATTTTAAAAAAACTCGAAAAAATCAGATTTTTAAAAATTCATAACTCGAAAATTTGAGCACTTATAAAAAAATACGTAAACCTTTTTTTTCTATAAAGATCGAAAAAAAATATATTTACCGAATTTAAAATGTCTTATGTAAATCTAACGTGGAATCGCCGTTATACTGCTTTGTTGGAAAAAATTTCAGCTTTCAAATAAAAATAACAAAAAAATTTTTTTAGGGGGAAAAGGAGGTTAAAAATAAAAAAATAAGTGTTAATTTTGAAAAAAATAGGGTTAAAAAGTACATGAAAAAATGGACAAAAAACCCTGATGACAAATTAAAATCCATAAAGTTTTTTCCTACGAAGTTTTGTATCTTTTTTTTTAATATAATGAATTACAGAACGTTAATATAGAAACTCAGTTAAATGGAAATTTTGTGAAATAAAAATTCGGTTAAAATTTAAAATTGAATTTTAAATTAAATTTTAGTAAAATGGGAATTTGGTTGAATAAAAATTGTATAACATAAAAATTCAGATAAATAGAATCTCCGTCATATAAAAATTTTGTAAATTGAGAATTCGGTCAAATAGAAAATCAGTTAGATGAACATTTTTTAAATGGAAATTCTGTTAAATGAAAGTTTGGTAAAATAGAAACTGAAATTTTGCGGAGAACTAAAAAATAGTATAAGAAATCGCTATTATGTGCCAGAGTACATTTATATTTCGTCAAAAATTACAAATTTTATGAAATAATTACAATCATATTGCCACAATATTGAATTTTCGTCAAATATATTAATTTTTTAAAATATTAATAATCTGTCACATAACAGCGATTGCTTATACTATTTTAATTTTTTTTTTATATTTACATGGGAAATCGCAAAAATCACATGACCTTAAATAAAAATTCTGTTAAACACAAATAAGAATAATTAAAATCTCTACCGCGTAAAAATCCGATTAAATATTAATTGTATTTTGTGAAATTCGAGAAACAATTAATTTACTTTTAAAAATAAAAGAATTAGATCAACTTTTTTTTTTTAAATTTGAGTTTCGAATAAAAAATCTGAGAATAGGGTGTTAACGAAAAAAACTAAAAGCAAATACCAAAAAAGAAATTTCAAGGGAGATCAAAATAAAACAAATATTAAATAAATGAGGGCCTATATTTAGTAAATTTATTAATTGATTATTTTTAAATTGCAGGAAGAAGAAATTGTGAAATCAAAACAAGCGAGAAAGAGAAGAAAGACAACGAAAAAGATAGATTCGGATAGCGACTGACCATCTAGTGTCTTGAAATGTCACATGGACCACTTGAAGTGTGTGCAGAAAGCTACGCTAGCCTTAAGATTGATAAGGTAGTATAATATACATAAATAGGTCAATGTAGTGAATCTTGTAAATAACGTATGTTGAATTCGATCATGAAAGGTTTAGAGAATCAATTATTATTATTATTATTATTATTATTAATTATTATTATTATTATTATGGAAAACAATTTGTCTATTGAAACTCTTGGATTATCAACTTGAATTTCTCGACTATTGTCCATTTATTTTTTAAGTGTTAAAAAAAAAGAAAGACTTATTTTCAATTTTTTCTAAATATAAAAATTAAAAAAAAATTGAATGTAAAAAAAAATGAATTTGTCAACGAAAAGATTGACTTGAATATTATTTATCAGATTGGTATTATTGAATACCAAAACTGTTTAAAAAAAAAATTTTTTTATTAGGAGTCGCTATCTTTTCTTATGACTGAAAATATATTAAATTAATAAATAAATTTCAATTTCATTTATAATAACGTTAATAAATTAAATCCAAATGTCGATCAAAAGTAGCATAAAAAAGTAAATTTTTATTGAATTATTATAAAAGTGAAATTGTTTTGTAAAAAAAAGACAACAACAACAACAATCTCAAGTTAATTAATTGAGAATTTAATGTTTTAATGATGTTTTATCATACTCATGAATTAATCTCGCAATTTAATGACACCGTTGCTTTTTTTCTATAAAAAAAAAAAAATTATTGTGTAAGAAAACAGTAAATAAAAAAAGGGTCCCCTAACTGTATTTTGTAACACCGATGTACCTTGATTCTTAAACTTGAAAAGCTATCGATCGAGTCGAGAGAAGAGAATTTTTCTGATTTCTATTTTCATTTTTGTTTTTTTAAATATTGTTTTGTAAAAATTATACTTTATACATTATTTTTAAATTATTGAAAATTTATTTTAAATGTATAGATTCTTTTTGTATAGAGATTTTAGTTTTTTTTTTTTTTAAATAATTGTCTCCCAAAAATCACATATCCTTTTTTTTTTTTTTTTGATATTGATTTTGGAATAAAAAGTTTTTATGAATTGTAAAATTCTTTTTGACATTGATCTTGATCTGATGAGCTTTCACTGTTGAAGTTACGTTTGAAAAATTGTATTGTACATTTTCTGTAAAATCAGTTAATCCAAACTGGACAGTTACATTTATATATTATGTAAGTTGTAAATAAATAAATAAATATATATATATTATATATATAAATATATTTAAATATTAAGATTGCGCAAGCTAAGATCAACAATAAATAAAATAAAGGGAAATCTCCCGTTGATTTTTTTTGTCATCTTCGATGTTTGTGTTATTGCAAAAAAAAAAGTTGAAAATACGTTTCTCGAATTGAAGTTTAAAATAAAAAAAAAAAAAATTATAAATGATACTTTTTGACAGTTGTAGAATTGCAAGAATGAGCGTGAGAATGAATGAGAAAAAAGAAAATATAATGTGTTTGAAACTATACAGTATATAGGGAACAGTGGAAAAAAAAGAAATACTACGATCGATAGCGTTTAATCGATCGCGAGTCTGTGTACAATTTATTCGTAAACGCGCAATGCAAAAAACCTTGTAGTTATGATGAACGTTATTACAAATTTTGATTTTTCTTTATTTTTATTTTTTTTTTTACTTTTAAATGTAAATATCGACGATATTATTAAATGATATTTAGGGCCATGATCATTTGGCAAGAAACTTAAAAAAAAAAAAAAAAAAATTAAATAGTTCGCGGTACCGAAAAAAAGTGTAAACATTTAATGTTTTTAACGATCTTGTACACATTCATATATACATGTAAATAATTCAATACATGGATAGATTATCGAATATGAACATTTAATGTTTTTAACGACCTTGTACACAGGATACACGTAATTGTAAATATATAGAGATTACCAAATAATATTGTCTCTTTCATTTTTTCCTAAAATCGCATAAAATTAATATTTAAACAATGTTTTTCTATATCTATCACTTCCCATTATTAATTATTATTACATATTATTGTTAATTTATTAAAAAATAAAATTAAAACAGGGATTGTTTGCATAGAAAAAATTTGTTCTATTGATTAAAAAAAGAAAAAAAAATTATATTCAAAACGCTAACTGATATTCTGTAGCTGTTGATGACATGTAACATGTTTTTAAAAACTTAAAAATTTCCATCATCATTTTTCGTAAAAATGTTCATTTATATGTAAATTATTTTATACAACCAAAAAGTAATTAAGGTTCTATCACTGTGAGGATTATATTTTTTTAAATAATGGTTTCAATTTTGAGAACAAAAATTATGGTTTTTTTAAACGTTAAGTGTAAAAAAATCGATTTTTACATGTCAATTTTTTTTATTTTAACAAAATTTAATTGGTTAATGAATATTTTACTGTAAATAACTAATGTTATTAGATATTAAATTCAATTTTATTAATTCTGTAATGAGAATAATTCTATAACAATATTATCAAGAAAATTTTTTTCGAATATTTCAGAATCGAACTAATTGTAAGACAAATTTTCAAAATTTTATTTAGGTAGGACAAATTTCTAAAAAATATTCTTAAAGTTCCATTTTTATAATTTTTTGAAGTCTGATTTAAGCAATTTATTCGAATTAAAAATTTTGTCATAGTTTTTAGTTTTAATGGTCAAGAAATTTGAGGCAATACTTAATCAAGTTTTACAGATTTTTAAATAAAATTTTTTTTCAAAAATAATTTTTTAAGAGTTAAAGTTGAAATTTTTAGAAATAATTGAATTTCAAAAGATTTTGTTAATTTTCAGACAATAATTAAATTTTACAGAACTAAAAATAATTTATCAAATAATTTTTGATAAAATTTTTTAAAAGTAATTAAGTTTTTAATTGATTTGCAATTTTAATTTTTGAAATTAATTCAACTTCAAGTGATTTTTAATTGAAAATTTTTGATGATTTCTGTCATTAAAAAATTTATTAGAAATTGCAGACAAAAATACAATAATTTGAAAGTTTTTTAAGTGAGAAATTGTTTTAGATAGTTGAATTTTCGAAGAATATTATAAAGATCATTAGAAATAATTGAATTTGAGGAGAGCTATAATTAAAATTATTAAATTTCAAAAAATTTTAGATGGAAAATTTTAGAAGCTTTTAAATTAAAATTTTTAAAAATAATTGAATTTCAAAAGATTTTAATTGAAAATTGCTTTCAGATGGTAATTGAATTTTAAAGAATATTATGAAAAACATTAAAAATAATTGAAATTTTTGCAAATAATTAAATTTCAATTGATTTTGAATTAAAAATTTTTGGTAATTTTATTTGTTAATTTTTTAAAAATTATAAACAATTATTAAATTTCATAAAAATTGTAATTGAAAAATAGTTTAAAATAATTGACTTTGTGAAAAATTTCATTAAAATTATTAAAAATAATTAATTTAGTGAAGAATTTTAGTTAAAAATTTGTTAAATAATTGAAATAAAGAAGATCTGAAAAAAATCTGCATTGTATACTAAAAGACCGTATTTTTAGTTTAAAAAATTTTGTAAAAAAAAAATGTAGAAAAAGTCGAAAAAGTTGCATTTTATTAAAATTAGTCGAAAAAAGTCGTATAATCCAAGGCCTGTTATTAAAAAAATCAAAAATCACAACTAGTTATTATTAAATTTTCATTTACTTTAAAATGAGGAATAAAGATCAAAATTTAACCTTTTGTAATAATTAATTTGTTGATTTTATCTACTATTTGTTTTTATAAATGTCACTATACCATATTTTAGCATGTATCAAATTGATTGTTTTCCACATAAACATTTATTATTATTATTATTATTATTATTATTATTATTATTTTTATTTTGCATTTTTCAATAAACAATTCTGTATTATAAAGTATCAACAATAATATGTAATTTAAAATGTTGCGTTGGCAAATTAAATATGTACCTGAATATCTGAACGTTGAAATGAACGAAATAATTTTTTTTTTCTATAAATTTTTAAAAAATTACTACAGAAATAAAAAATTATATTAATTTAATAATTTATTAATTTATTTTTCGATATAGAAAGCAATATTTTATAATAAAGAATTTAAAGAAGTAGAAAACAAATTTTACTTTCATTTTTAACGTTCAGAACTTCAGACACATAATTAAATAAAATTTAAGGAACAAAAAAACATCAAAGACAAATTTTTATTTATGGCATAAATGGATTTATTTTTTTTCTTCACACTGAGAGAGAAATAGAGACTGGCTTGTTTACGAGAAGATAAATAAAATTGCAATATCACTTGTCATGTATTATTTACTAAAGACACAAGGATGCACCTAGAATTTAAACGCATTGCGTACCGCGAGATTTATCGTAAAGAAGAAAATTTAAAATTCGCAAACATTAAATATATATATATTATATGTAAAGTCTCTTGTTCTATTTTTACTTCTTGCTATAAATAATTTTAGTCCATTCAATAGCTATGGAAATTACAAAAAAAAAATTATATTTTATTCTGTAAAGGTCAACAATTTTTTATGAATAAATTTATTTATAACAAACAAATTGTAACAATTCTTTCTTTTTTCTTCATTAAAAAAAGTAGTAAAATTTCAAAAATTTGTTGTCATTTTTAAAATAAAATTTATTTTGCAATATTTTCAATAATAATAAAAAAGGTATTTTTCATTTTTATTTTTCAAATTGAATAGACAAAAATTATTGAAGCTGGAGAATAGATAAAAAAAAAAGAATACAATATCAGTGAAAAGCAGCAAACATCAAATCTGTACATGTATATATATAATATTATATGTATCACAATTTCAATTAAAAATTTTTCGGTACGCAAAATGTCTTTTAAAATTCCTTCAAGACTCTTTATTAGAGTATATTTCGCGAATAATAAATATAATTTTATTATTTTTTTTTTATTTCATTTACTGGCCTATCGGTTAAGACAAACATTTTTCACGCTCACAATTTTTTGTTTATTTGTTTGTTTGTTATGAAGAAAATTAATCCCAAAAGTAGAAAATGATACATTCTTTCTCCAATGCTCCAAATTAAAAGTTTTTGAATTGACTTGAAACTTTGGTAAATTAAATATTTCAGGGTAAAAAGAAAACCCTAAAGAATATTATCTCATTAAAAAAAAAAATTGTCGAAATTATTCAGGATTAATTTTTTTTCTTTATAAATTCGATAAAAAATCTCAGCTTTTCAAATTAAAATAAAAAAAAGTTTGGCATAAACTTAAAATGTTCATTAATTTTTACAAATTTTTGAAAAATTGAGCTTATATTTTAGGAATTTTTTTACTCTCATAAAAAATTTACCCAAAGTTTCAAGTGAATTCAATAACTACACAATTTTCACTGTGACATTTGAGAAAGAATGCCACATATGTCTTGTATGTGTTTTACTCAAAAGTCTTGACAATAAAAATTTGTAACTTTAAATTCAATTGAATATTTTATAAAGCAGATGAGTTTAATTTTCTTCAATAGAAATTTTCGTTTTACAAATCGAGGAGCGTATTATTAGAGGGACAATCGATTTTGTGTCAGTCGAAAGAAACTTTTCTTTTCAATTCCCTATACACACACACACATATACATATATGTAGTTTAATATTCAACAGAAGAGCAAAAAGCATAAAAATGTTTTATAGTCGTGTTCACACAAAGAATCATTTAGTTGTATAGAAAAATATATTTACAATACAACATTTTATTACATAAACAAGATATTTTATAATGTTCACGTTTTACTGAAATTCTCAAATCTTCTTACCCCCTTCAGTTTCAAATTAGATAAAAAAAAACCCAAAAACTAAAAAAAGTAAATAAATATAGTTTACAATTTTTTTAGAATTTTTTAAAAAACAAAAAGTTACAATTTTTAAATTCGTGGAATTTTTTCATTAATTGATTTTTCAATAGAATAAATTGATTTTCTCATTAATTAAATTTTATTTATTTCAAAAACAAAAATTATTACCTTGAATGTACTTTGTTTAAAAAATATAATAATTCAAATTTTAAAATTATAAAAAAGGTATAAAAAAAATTTTTTAAATATTAAAAAAAACGAAATATGTAAATTATTTGGTTCAATAGAAAATATTTATTTAAAACAATCGATTATTTGGATAATGGAGAATTTTTTTCAGTGTAAAATTAAAAAAATAAACATAAAAATAAAAATGATTGTCCCCCTGATGATAGACTACGTGGAAAGTGGATTTAGCTAGAGTAGAGAAATAGTTTCGTTTTTGTCTGTTTATGTGCACTTGTTTACTATACATATTTAAACATGTTTTCATTTTAGAGCCTTTACACATTTTCGTCAGTGTACAATTCGGATGTATAATGAATAAATTCTATACAAAGATATATTCTCACATATTAGCGCATACTTCACCGCTTTCATGAAACAAGCACTCATAACACTCTTCAATTTTATTATATTCGATTTTGTACGCCATTTTCTTTTGCGTTTTAATGCAACAAAAGTGTAAATATTATCATCACTCATTGCATACAAAGACTACAGATATATATATATATATATTTTTTTTTTGTTCTATTAACACATCCTTATTATACAATCGCGAGGCAACAAGAAGTCTTGTTATCACATCTTATAAGTGAATAATATATTCGTTTATATTATTCAAATGACATATAAGAGTTTTTTAATTTTTTTGTTCATTTTCTCTTAACTGCCGCTTTACTATCACTAATTAACTTATTTTTGATACGGATCAAAGTTCCTGAAACTCACGAGACTTTTATTTCATCAAATTTTAAAAAGCCGAATTTTACAATGTAAAATGAAATATTTAATCTACTTAATACTCCGAATTTCGGAACAGAATTCTCATTTAACTTCAATTTTCATTTTAGAAAAGTTTCATTTAACAGAATTTTCATTTAGACACATGTTTTTTTTTGGGAAATATTCATTCTCGTTTCTTATTTATTTATTTATATGCACAATTTGAAATTCTTTACTTCTTTTTTACCAAATACTTTCTTGGAATTAAAAAAATATTTGAAAATCAATAACATGAAATAAAAACAAAAATTATTTAAAAATATTTTTTCAATTTTTTGCATTCTTATATCAATTCCTTTTTAAGTCATTGCTAAATGAACATTTATGTATTTTGTGATTTTCGAACTGTTTAATAAGAAACAAATTATGAACTATTATTTTCTACATTCTCGTATTATGATTTCAAGAATTATTATAAAATAAAATTATATCCCTTAATGCTGATACTTTCAATAACACTTGAGAAAAACAGTTTTTAATTTATATTTTTTCTCAATAATTTCTATTGTCTATTAATTTTATCAAATACAAAAAAAAAGAGAAATATTGAAAAAATTTATTAACAGTCGAAATAGCATGTACATGAAATGTTCGCAAAGACAAATTTTACACAATAGAAAAAAAAATTATCAAAAATTTAATCTTTATTTTACAATTTTGGGAAAAATTATACTTTTCAGTAAAATTGTTCCCTAAATAAAATATTACATGGAAAAATTTGATAATTATTTTCCAATATTGAAGTTGTTGAAAATTTTCAAATTAATGAAGTAAAGCTTTTACGCAATTACAAATATGTTCTATATTCAGAATTTGTACAAGTTATAATTTATTCTATTAAAAAGAGATTTTACGAAAACTTTACACAATCTTTCAAAATTCAAATATTTTTTTTTTTTTTAGTGATTTTTCACTCCTCAAACAATATTATTAATTGAATCCAAATAGGCCGATGGTCATTGTTTTGATTACAAAACGACTATTGTGTTTAATAATACAACGCAGTAAAGGTGCGGACATAGTAGGAATATCTGTTTCATTATAGAAATTGATCTACAATGACAATTGTACAGAAACAAATTCAAATTAGTTTTATAAACAATAGTTTCAAATAATTTATATAGTCTTCTCCTTCACCAAAAGAAACAAAAGAAAAAAACCGATATTCTGAATTTAAGAATAAATAATTCATACACTTTCATGCAGTTAGATTATAATTTTCTTAAAATAAGAAAAAAATTCTGTTAAAATAAGAATAATTTTTTTCTAATTTGATTAAAAAATTGGTTCTTATATAACATTAAATAAAAATAAAATGCATATGGATTATATTTTTAAATAATAGTCTTAAATTTAGAATATTGTTTTTTTTTCAGCGTTGAAAATTTGGAATTCCATCAACAAACAAATAATATTGATACATATTTTAAACAATTGTAACATTTGAAAACAAATTTTTAAAAAATAAAAAAAAATTTTTACACATCTTAAAAATGAATAATTCAGTCTAGTAAATCACTTCATAAACTGTTGCTTTTTTATCACCTGAACCGGTCACGATGAATTTGTCGTCCGTCGAAATGTCACAGCTCAACACTGACGAGGACTCCTTTGACTGAAATGAAAAAAAAAACACAATTTAAAAATCACAAAAAAAAATAAAATCAATAAATTTTGCTGCAAATACTTTGAATTTTATTACAATGAAAATATAGTTTTTTGAAAAAAAGAATCTCAGCTTTTTAATAAAAATAACGAAAAAAAATGAAAAAAGGTTAATTTTGAAAAAAAGTGGAGTTAGGATTTTATTTTTGAAAACATTTTTTTTAATACTACATGAAAAATGCTTCAAAAAAAAAAAAAAAAAGATTCAAAATAAATTTTATATTGATAGTGACAAAAATAAAGATAACATTAAAATTAGAGACGAGAGTTCATTTAATAATAATTTATTCAGGTGAAAAAAGCAAATAAATTTGAAAACTGAAATAATCAAATTGAGGAAATAATAAATAAAATTTATATATCGTTATAAAAATAATAATAATACTATAAAAAGAAAGATTAATCTTTTGTGGGAACATTACTTTGATAATGTTATCTGCATCATTTTAAAAAAATAGGCGCATAAGATTTATAAGAATGACAAAGACATTCAGGCCCAGTGAATGTGAATGTGTTATATATATATATATATTATGAAAGTAGGTAAAGACGATATCTTCCAGCCAATTGACCGACTAAAGCTGGCTTTATCTATTATATATGAGCGCAAAGTGAGTTTAAAAAAAAAATCTTTTCCATCAACTGATCGCAATTCAACTTGCAGAATTCCCTCCCTCATAAAATGCTCCATAAAAAATTTTCAAGAATAATTACTATTCATTATTATTATCATATTTATGATTCGTTATATTTATTTTTCACAAAACCTGATCTAAATCCATTTTAAAAAAATCGTTTTTTCCTTGTGACTTTTGATTTTCACTATAGTAAAATTATTTTTCTCAGAAAAATTCCTATAAATATATCATAGGATGTGTGTTAAGTAAAAACTTTCTATCCATTAAATAAAAGAAATGCAATATTCTTTAAAAGAAACGTATAATTTTATTGATTTTTCATGTCTCTTTTAAAGTCAATAAATATTTTTTTTTTCATTCTATTTTTGTTTCCGACCTAGTTTATATTCTTTTTGTTTTTCAATATTTTATTTATTTTTTTTAAAAAAGAAGAACCCTCAGTTAACCGCGATAAGAAAATGGAAACATAGAAAAAAAATTACTTCAAGAAAATAGATATATGTGGGTCATAAAAAATTGAAAAACATATCAAGAATTAAATTTTAAAGTAAACTAAACTTTTGCCCTCAATTGAAAAAGATCTATAATAAAAGATTAGCAATTTTCATATATGCATATATAATCAAAATCAAAGTTTGAGTTTTTAAATCAAAAATAAAATTCGATTATTTTTCGATTTTCTCGACATAAAAAATATTTCTCCTAGTTATAATTCAATAATATTTAGCTGTAACTAAATTGTATATTCGTGAGCTTTAAAATGGTAGAATCAACTTTTTGTAAACAAAATTAATATATTTTTTAAACATTTAAACGTTTAGTAGAAAAAAAATTACAAGTAATTATTCTGTAAAAAAATATCGCTAACCTTAGCTTCCAACTGATGTATCATATATACTTAGGACGATAAGATCTTTCGGAAATATACAAACAATTTAAAAAATTTTCGAACACTAAAAAAAGACGTGTTTAAAAAAAAATACTTTTTCTAATTTCTATACAATGATTTAGGCGATCGCGGTTTTAAGAATTTCGAACACTCCCGGAACAAAAAATTTAATTAAATTGACAGTGAAAAAAGAAATTAATAATTAAAAATTTTTTCGTTTGTGAATTAAAAAATTTGAGCATTCCAGAAACTATTCATAATTTAAATAATAAAAAATATTAAATGAAAGACAATATAAATGAAATTAAAAAAAAAAATTGTCGTTCACGTTGTCCAGTTCTAAACAGGTCAATACACGAATTGCAACTGATTTAATTATCTCTAGTATTTTCAATTCACATTGTTATATGGCTTAAGGTTGCCCGCCCTTTATTGTACTTCCATGTAAACATATACAACTCGGGATGCAGGTAGAAAGGTAATAAAATTTCAAAATCGCTTCTACCCATTTCAAATATTTCGAAATTATAATTTTTAACTTTAAATATTATTATATACATTTATACAAAATTATTTCTAAATTTAAAATTATTTTATTTTTAGCATAGAATTTTCAATACAAATTTAAAAGATCTTCAATCACCAACATTATTTAATGCGCCAATTTTTTTTTGCGTGTTACCATATAAATCAAATGTTCTGTAAATTTAAACCTGATTTAGATCTGTTTAATTCATCTCAGTCTTGGTTCCTTGAAATTCTTAATGACTACGTCATCTCTTTGTGTGCGGACCACTAATTTATTCATAATATATATATACTATTAATACTTTTATTATACTATTTTTGTTACCCATTTATGGACCAACAAATGGTCCGCGGGGAAATGTACATAAATAAATAATCTTTAGTAAACGCACGCGACTATCCAGTCGTGAAAATCCTTAATTACGGGGAATTCTTCTTCCTCTTTGTCAATAGGTATATTGCATAGACCTATTTCAACTTCCTCCTCAAGAAATCATTCTATTACTGGTTCCGGCATGTCTACCTTACAGAGTAATTCATTTTCTCGCTTTGAAATAATTTTTTTCGGGCGCTGCTTTATATAATTATGAAGTGCTAAGACCGTGAATGATTATCATTCGAATTTTTTCTTGAAAAGTACAATTTCAGCTCCTTCTGTCTTTTTCGATAGAACTACGTACTAAGCGCGAAATTTTAAAAAAGACAAAAAAATTAATTTTAGTTATTAATTACGTCCCGGACAGCACCGAAACTTCCCTGAACCTTGACTAAACCTCGCTTGACGGGGTTCGGGAACTTGAGTCGCGAGGTCCAAACGAGGTTGACTTGATGTTTAAATGTCAGTCACAGAGGTTGGCTGAATATTGGATTTGAATTTCTGTTAAATATTAAAATTAAAGATTCTTGGCATATTGTGAGGGGATATTTAAGGAAATTAAAAATTCAAGATTTGTTAAAAATCTTAAATATTCTGGAAATTTAGAAGGAGCATAAATACAGAAAAATAAAAAGAAAGCAAATGAATTTAAAAAACTATTGAAAATTGCATTTTCTATGACATGGGAAAGCGTAAATAAAACAGAAATTAATAGAAAACCATAAATACAGTTATATTTATTAGTAGTTACATAAAAATTAAATTTTTTAAGGTTTTTTTGAGAGTCTGCAGGCACATTTCATGTGCTAATAAAAAAATAAAATTAAAATTAAATGCAAATTCTATTAAAACGAGTTATCGGAATTTTTTTTGGCAGAAATCCTAGTAAATATTCTCAACAATAATTTTATTGAGCCAAAAAAAATTCATCCAAAAGAATTTTCTTGTGAGTAAATCATTACGAAAATGTATTTTTTTTGTCTAAGGTACAAATTTTGTAATAAACAAAATTTTCTTTTTAAGTAAATCGTTCATTTATTTGAGTTTTTGTTTCACCACACATTGTAAACAACATTTATATTTGAAAATATTTCTTGTCAAAAGAGTTAAACACTATTTGTAATTTAATGTAATAATAATTTATTACTAATAAATATAACTGTATTTATGATTGTCTATTAATTTCTGTTTTATTTACGCTTTCCTATGTCATAGAAAATGCAATTTTCAATAGTTTTTTAAATTCATTTGTTTTCTTTTTATTTTTCCTTATTTATGCTCCTTCTAAATTTCCAGAATATTTAACGATTACATTTAACAAATCTTGAATTTTTAATTTCCTTAAATATCCCCTCATAATATGCCAAGAATCTTTAATTTTAATATTTAACAGAAATTCAAATCCAATATTCAGCCAACCTCTATGACTGACATTTAAACATCAACTCAACCTCGTTTGGACCTCGCGACTCAAGTTCCCGAACCTCGTCAAGCGAGGTTCAGTCAAGGTTCAGGGAAGTTTCGGTGCTGTCCGGGGCTCCCTCTGTCTTTTTCGATAGGACTATACGTACTTAGAGCAAAATTTTAAAAAAGACAAACAAATTAATGTTAGTTATTAATTACGTAGTTGGACTTGATCCCCCCTCCCCTCCCGTAGAATTTTGCTGGAACCCCCCCCCTAACCCTTAGCAGGCTACGTAGTTTATAAACGTTCCGTATCCAAACGCCCGAATTCTATTAATTATCCCCAAAAATGTATAATTTTTTATTGTGAATTTTGAATATTATATGAAACATTAGTTAAATATTCTACAATTTTGTCTTGTTCTTTATAATATCTTGGGTATTCCTCTGTTATTGTATGCAATCGTAACTTTGTTTAGAAAAATTTCTAACAACTGTAGTGGTGGGAGTAGGGCTTGATTTTGAACAAAATATTGATTCAGAAAATTGCCACCTTGAGCGCAACCATCTAAAGTTAGCGAATTGAAAATGCAGTAATTTATCAAACTGTAAATGAAAATATATAAAAAATAAAACTAAATGAAAAAAAAAATTATGCTTACTTGGAATATCGAGGCTCCATAGGGAGTACGCCACGCATTCAAGAGGTTGTCCTTCCCAGTGGAAACGAACCATTTACCACATGAAGCAAACTTTAAAGACAATACACAAGACTCGTGAAGATGAAGTTGGTACTTGTCAGGTTTCGAGGCATGTAAAACCTCAACATTCGAATTCTCCATTCCCACAGCTAACCATTCACCAGAGGGACAATAACCAAGAGAGAATATTTGTGATGTGAAGTCATGTTGTTGCAATTGTCTACCTTCCCTGAGATCCCACGATCTCACAGTATTGTCCAAACCACCAGTCCACAATTTGGAACCATCGGCTGATATATCTATACAAGAGGCTCCATCTGTATGACCTTGAAATTGTCTGACGAGAGTTTGATTCTGAAGATCCCATACGGCAATATTTCCATCGCTACAACAACTGAAGCAAACTTTGGAATCTGGCGATATTGCAAGTGCATAACATGCCGGTGCTGATGACGTGAGTTCTGCCCTAATTCGAGGCGTGGGACTTGCCAAGTCCCAAATACTCAATTGACTCGCTTCACCACCAACAATAAGTGTTCTACCATCGGGAAGTAATTTCACTGATCTTATATAATTGTCACGTTGAAGGCAATCTAATTGTGAAACAGGATTTGCCGTTCCATTAATACCCTGACCAATGTCCCATACTTTAACACAACCCTTGCCACCAGTGTAGACGTATTTTGTTGGGTTTGAAATTGTTACAGCGCAAACAACTTCACCATGTGTCAAGGTGTTGATTTGTCGGGCATGTCGTGGTATTCCAGCAGCTACAAGTGCATCCGAAGGAAATGGCACTGGTTGCAGTTGACCCTCGCCATTTACGTGAAAGGAATAAGCACTGGAATTCAATTTTTTGCTTTATTATATTGAAAACATCTCGAAATCTGAATTATAGTAGAATTTTTATTTTTCAAATTAGCTCCATTTTACTAAAGAATTAGTAGATTTATTAACTTTTACTTATGATTGGTGTAAATTGATTATAAAAGAACTAATAGTTATTTGTGCATGCGCGCTAGTATTTATAATATCGTCTGCTGTTAAACGTGTTTTTTTGGCCGACACATTTTTCATGCCACAAAAGAGAGACTTTTTATATGAACGTTATATAAAAAATCTTTATGATCATTTATATTTGAATTAAAATCTGTAAAATTTCCATATTCTATGAGGTTATGTTCATATTTAAAATAAAGCATTTTTCCATTTTCGACATTTTTATCACTTTCAAAACTGAGGTAATAATATTGACACATTGTACGAACAAAAATATAGTTTGAAAGTGATAAAAATACCGTAAATTGAAAAGTGTTGTATTTAAAAGGGAACATAACCTTAATTATTGCAATTTGACAGATTTAAATAGAAAATCGATTAACCCTTACGCGCCTGAGCTGGGTCCCTCGGGCCCAGACAACTTTTTTTTCTTGTACTTCATATTCGCTTGAAAATCGTTACTCGGAGGTTTTCGGGGTCGCTGATTACGAATCCGGTGTCCGTTTTTCAAAATTCAAAATGGCGGATCCAATATGTCCGACAATTTTTGAAAAAATTTAACGTATTCATCTGAAAATAGTTACTCGGGGGGTTTTCTGGGTCGCTGATTACGAATCTCGTGTCCGTTATTGAAAATTCAAAATGTCCGATCCAATATGGCGGAAGAATTTAAAAAAAATCGTTCGATATCGCTTGGAAATCGTTACTCGGGTTGCTGATTACAAATCTGATGTTAGTAAATTGTATTGATTTTTAATTTTCCTGTCAGCCATATTGGATCCGACATTTTAAATTTTGAAAAACTTACATCAGATTTAAAATCAGCGACCCCGAAAACCCTCGAGTAACAATTTTCAAGCAAATATGTTTAATTTTTTTAAATTCGTCCGCCATATTGGATCTGCCATTTTGATTTTTCGAAATCTGACGTCTGATTTGTAATTAGCGACCCCAAAAGCTAAGAATACCCAGTAATACATAAATTAAATTAATTACTTTTTTTGTACTTTAAACGCAAATTCGCCCTGTCGAAAAAGGTGTCACGACGCGACTTTTTGTGGGCTATTTATGTACCCTAGAGTGTCAAAAGATTAAATATTTTTTGCAAAATATTACAATTATAATTTAGAATTAAAATATTGAATATCCTGCAATTAAATGTTGTTTTTTATGGAATTTAAGCAGCTGGGTCCCTCGGACCCAACTTAGGCACGCACATCAAAAAATGAACTCAGGCATGTGAGGGTTAAAAGTTTGTTTGACCAGACCAGGTATATTATGTTTTTTGGGTCGCTAAACACGAATCTGAGGTTCCTTTTCCACATCTACGTCAGAATTTTTTACTAACCTTAAAAAAGCGAATTTTACACACACAAAAAATGCCAGTGTAATTTTACTACACGCACAGTGGGGCAGAATGCATAAAAAGTTGGCAAAAAATGAAAAATTGAAAAATTCAATTCCAACTTTTAATTACATTATTTCAATAAACAATAAGTCAAAGTTTGATGAAATATAATTTTTAGCCCTTTTTAACTGCGGATTTTCATAGAAATATGTTTTAATGTCGACCTATTTTCAACAGTTATGTTCGCGCTTTTTTGTTTATTTATCAAGGTAAGGTTTGTAACCTGATTAAAACGTACAATGTGACAGATTTTGAATTATTTATCATGGAATCTTCAAATTCAGGTATTTAATTATATTATAGAAAAGATAAAATCGTATTTTATAACATTTTAATTATTAAAATTCTTAAAAGAAACGTGCTTTTGAAATTCAAAAATTGAAAAAATTTTCTGTAAACATTAATCATTTTAGTTATGTTCCAAGATAGTCCAAGCGTTAATTCTTGAATTTTTTATTATGTTTTGATTCCAAGTTTCTGAATCTGCTTGAAATTTTTGCGAATATTTGCGATTTTTCGAGAAAAAGTGATTTTATTGGACACATTGCAAAATACAGAAATATGTATTTTCAATAATGAGTGTAGAAATTAAAAATAAATTATTGTAATTTTCATATTAGGAACGACTTCAAGCACGCTTCATGCGTAAAGAAAAAAGAACTCGTTGAAATAATGAATCGTTCAAATAGCAGTAAATTCGATGAGAGATTTAATTTTTTAATATCTGCCATTTTGTATCTGCTATTTCATAGTTTTAAAAAATTGACTTCATATTCGTAATCAGCAACCATAAAAACACAGGAATATCTAGTTTCAAACGATTTCGTTGAAATTTAAAAAACATATCCGCCATTTTGAAATTTTAAAATCTGACTTTAGATTCGTAATCAGCGACCTCGAAAACCCTTAGATACCAAATTTTATGGAAATCGAACAATTTTGAAAAAAAATTGTCCGCCATATTGGATCCGCCATTTTGAATTTCAAACATCTGACTTCAAATTCGTAATCAGCGACCCCAAAAATCCCTAGATACTGAGATTAAAGTAAATCCGTCAATATTTATAAAACATCGTCTGCCACAAAAAATCCGACATATTTTTTGAGGTTAGGAAAAAATCTTGACGTAATGGCGCAAAACGAACTTCAAATTCATGTTCAGCGACCCCAATAACATAAAATAGTACATGCGTTCTTCTCAAAGGTACTATTTATCAATTTTTCGTGATCCTGTGAAATTAATTAGAATTCTACTAAATTCAGATTTAGAAAGAGTTAAAAGGAGGGAAATATTGCAACTTAACGAAAACAAGCTGTTCTAGGTAAATCTTTTTTTTCATCCAGAGGATAAAAAAATTATAAATAGCAAAATTTTTAAGTTAGAAATCTTGTAAATTGATAAAATAAGTACACTTGTGGCCAAATATGCCTACACATTTTTGTCCTTTTCTAACGCACGTGCTGTCATGACAACACGTGAGTTAGAAAAGGACAAAAAAGTATAGGCATATACGGCCAAGAGTGTACCAACCATAAAACACAAAACTATGAATAATGGCGCAAAATTTAAAAATTGTTGAAAAAAACTATAACTATTTTAATGAATAGACTTATATTAATATAACGAAATTTTTAAATACTTTTAGCTATTAATTCAAATTGACACGGAATTCATGATGACACAAAATAGAAAAGAATCCTGTTTTTTTTTTCTTATAAACAGGGACAGGTTTATTAAAAAAAAAAATCCCCATTAATTTTTGTAGTATTTTTATATAGAAAATCTAGATGGCGAAGTAAAAAAATATGGATAATGAAAATGAAATATAATAATATACGCTTTGACTCGAATGACTGAAAGAATGTTGTATGTAATTAGACGGGAGCAGCGTGCGTGTTAATTACAGTGTGTGACACTTACGGCTTACCGCCTGGAATATTGCTTAGTCCATTGCTCGAAGGAAGTCGCACGTGACCGTCGAATCCAAGCTGCAAAACACAAGAGATTTAATCTTCCTATGTATACACTTGGGTAATGAAACATGCTGCACATATAAGCACGTTGAAGCGTAAACAACTCGAGACAAGTCAGATAAGAAACTGTGCGCGCACGGTATAAGTCATATAATGGAACGTTCTCCAATATATAGTAATCACCAGCGCAGTAATTTCATTTTTTTTTTAATTATTATTTTTCAACTTCTAATCATGTATTTTGCCTCATGCAAATATTTTAATATTTTATTTACAAAAAAAAAAAAAAAAAAAAACGAGAAATCATTAAATGTCACGAGTCTGACTAAAATTAATTTTTTACTACTGAAAAACAAAATTGATATTCGAGAACAATTTTTTTTACTAATTTTTTGTATATGTGACGCTCCACGAGAAAAGGGACCTTAGAGGCAAAAAATTTTAGGTTATGTTTGTGATTATTGAATTGAAAATACACTAAACATAACCTAAAATTTTTTGCGTTTAAGGGCCATTTTCTCGTGGAGCGTCACATACGTAAGACTGCAAATTTTTTTTGTTTTTAAATGTTTCGAGAGGGCGCCAAAGTGAATCGAACATCTGTCTGCCTTAAGGAAGATGAAGGCCCTAACAGAACCTCAAAATTTAAAAATGATTTTTCAATTTTGAGGTTATGTCAGGTCCTTCATCCTTTTTAATCTTAATTTACTTAATAGTAAACAAAAAAAGTGTTATTTCTAAAAAAAAAATAAAATATTATTTACCATCGTGGACCTGCCATAGGGTAAACTGTTGTATGGTGAAGGTGATTGCGGTGGTTCATTGCCTCGGGACGGCAAGCCCTGAAAACCTTGAGGTGGAGTTTGCTGCGAGGATGGCGGCTGATGGACTCGCGACGCCAACGGCCCAGGGATTGCACCCAAAGTTGGCGTACAGCTGCGCGAGCCCCTCGCACCCACTAACGGAGTACCCGGTTTGTCGATCTTAACATATATCACAAATGTAAATACTATTTTTCTCCAATTTTTACAAACCAATGGAAAACAGTTTGATTTAATCTCATTATATGAACTATATATTGTCTGACTGTTACACTAATTTTTATACTACTTAATCTAAAATTACGAAAATTTCAAACTCTAATTAAAAAATTATTTAAATTAAAAAAAGATTTTTAATTTAAATAATTTTTGCTACTTATCGGGATAAAAAATTTCAAGTCTGACTAAAGTTAATTTTTACTACTGATACTTAAATTACAAAAATTTAAAAAGTCTAACTGCAACTGTCATTTATTACTAAAATAATTAGATTTATAAATTAATTGTTCTCTTAAGGTACGAGCTGCTCTCTAAATTTGAATTAGCTAAAATTTCACTGTTTGAATCAGCGAATAAAGTTTTCACTGCAAAGCAGCGGATACAGCTAATAAAATAGCGAAACAAGAATCGGCGAACGTCGGTCATTTTCGTCGGAAGATAAATTTATTTTTAAAATGGAGTATTCCGCTGATTGAAATAGTTGTTAGTCGCTAATTCGCAGCTGCATACTTATAGCTTCTTCAATCAGCGACTATTCGCTGCCAATCAGCGGATTTTAGCTGATTGAAATTTAGAGAGTGAGAGTGAATTAGATTATTTGGTTGTTGTAAGCAAATTTTGGTTAGAACAACAAACGATCATTTGGCCTTTTTTTCCAAACTATTTTGTTCTGTTAACCAAATTATTTTGTTGTCGTAACCAAATTTTGGTTGGAATTTAAAAATGTTCAACCAAATAATTTTGTTGGGCTAACCAAATATTTGATTGAAATAACTCTACGACTTTGTTTCAGCCAACCAAAATTTGTTTATATGCAAGAACCGAAATTTGCCTAACTAAACGATTTTGTTGCAAACACAAAATCTTTTTTTTTTCACTGCATATAATACAATATGATACAACAAAATATTTTTTAGTTTTAAAAATCGCTTCTAGAAAAATTCATTTAAAATAAATCTTTTTCGCTTCCAAAACACAAATTAATAAATGTGCTGCAACTTTTGTATTTTTAAGAATTAATTTTACGTAACTTAGATACTGACTTTTCAATATCATATAAAGTAAATTACAAAAATAAAAAGAATAAATAAAAAATTCGATAAAAAATAAATTGAAAAACCGAAGATCAATTGCGTCACTTTCAGGATAATCACCCATATATAACTGTAGTAAAAAAATATTACTAAAAATTATTAAAAATTTCTACTAATCTGAATTAATGTACGAATTCTCACTAATTAAAATTTAGAAACTAATAATTTGATGAAATTAATTAAATTTTGTTTAATTTCACAGATAATTTGCTCTCTAAATCTGAATAAGTGAAGTTTCACACTGAAAAAAATTCTAGTTAGAATAACCAGAATTCTGGTTAGGGTATATTTAACATTTTGATTCTGGTTAGGTTAACCAGAATTCTGGTTATTTTAACGAGAATTCTAGTTAATTCAACTAGAATTCTGGTTAACATAACTAGAAAGTAATGTTAAATATACCCTAACTAGAATTTTTTTTTCAGTGCACTTATTTTTAAGTGCATAATACACTTATTTTTTTACGTGGAAGACTTTTGAAACACTCCATGTGAAATTTCACTTATTCAGATTTAGAGAGTAAATGTTATAAACGAACATAATAACTAAATAGTTGATAGATTAAACCAAACTGTTTTTTCGGCTATTTATATTATTTTTGTTCTAAAACAATTTTTAACCATTTTCAATAATTTCTTAAACTGGTATAATGTAGAATCGACGAAACAGGTATCTCAATTGATGTGGATATATATGAACACAAATAAAAAGTAAATTGTGCAATTTACAATATATCAATATTTTTTGTAGATTTTTTTTTGCAGAATATATATATACAGTGGTCTCTGGTTTATTTTATAATTTTATAAATTTCAAAATAATTAATTACTTTTATATAGCATTTTTTATTTATTGTAAAGTATATACAATTTACTTTTTTCCCAAATACGTAAAACGCAACCAAATTGTATTGGTTTTTTTTTGTAGCATTACAAGAATATTTGATTGGCAAAATCTTTTTTTTTATTGGGACAATGAATATAATTGTTCTCATAAGATAAGATATAAGCAAGAGAAAAATTTCACAGAAAATCTTTTAGTAGCATCAAACAAATTTTTTTAATTCAGTTATAAAATGATTTAATTATATCAATCAAAATTTATTTAAATATTTAAACAATTTTTTGATTGTTCCAAACAAAGAATTTTTTATGCCAACTAAATCATTTGGTTATAATGAATTTTTTTTTTATTTAAAACACAAATACATTCATAACCAAATGTTTTTAATTTTTATTTTCAGAGAACTATATAATTATTCAAATTCAAAATTAAATTAAATAAATGTGATATGTTTTGAAGAAAGGAAACTGAGAAGTAATTTTATTGTTGCTAATGAAAAAAAAATCCTTAGCAACAGTTGCTATGGAAACGGTTACTATGGAAATGGTCGCTATGGCAACGGTTGTTATGGAAACGTTGTTCTGGTAAATGTTACCATGGCAACCATACTAGTGTCTAAGTCACGAAACCCTAAAAATTATAGGTTATGTTTATGATAATTTAATCTTGCCTAAAATTTGCTTTTTAAGGAGGGTGGCGGGTCAACATAACCTCAAAAACATGTCAAAGCTAAAAAAATTGTTTTTAACGCAAACAAAAATATAATAAATATTAATTTCAAACAATTTTAGAAGATCTAGATTTACTCATTTCGAAAAAAATTATTTTTTTCCAAAATATTTTGTCAATAATTATTTTTTTTACATTTAGTTTTTTTTTCTTTTAAATCAGACAAAAATTGCAATTTTTAACCAATTTTTATAAACAAAAGCTCATTTTACTCAGTGAAACATTCTCTACAATTGTTACCTTTTTTATATTGTAATAAGTATGTTCTTAAAAAGTTATAAACAATTAAAATTTTATTTATTAAATAACTTTTTGCTTTTGTTTATAAAAATTGGTTAAAAATTGCAATTTTTGTCTGATTTAAAAGAAAAAAAAACTAAATTTAAAAAAAATAATTATTGACAAAATATTTTGGAAAAAAATAATTTTTTTCGAAAGGAGTAAATCTAGATCTTCTAAAATTGGTTGAAATTAATATTTATTATATTTTTGTTTGCGTTAAAACCCTATTGAAAATCCCCACATAGGCTCCTATATAGGAAGCCATATGGTTTCCTATACAAAATCGTATACGTAATTGGAACAGGAATTTGAATAGGAAATTAAGTAGGAATTATCATATGAATGCACATTATATCTTAATATCATGCGCAGTAGTTTTCTTCAACTTTTTCGGCTGCGCAATAAATTTTTTTCATCTCTGTAGTCTATCAGGAACCTCTACTATTGAAAGATATATATCTTAGAGTTGAAAAAAAATTCATATTATAGGAATTGAAATAGGAATATACATAGGAATGTACATTCCTGTGTGGATGTGGATTCATATAATAATTCCGACTTAATTTCCTATTCAAATTCCTGTTCCAATTACATATACGATTTTGTATAGGAAACCATATGGCTTCCTATATAGGGACCCATGTGGTTTCCCATATGGGAGCCTATGTGGAAATTTTCAGTGGGGAAACAATTTTTTAATTTTGACAGGTTTTTGAGGTTATGTTGACCCGCCACCCTCCTTAATAATATCAAAATTAGTTTTTATTGAATATTTCATATTCAATGAAGATTTATTGAGAGTTGATTCTTTTTTTGTGTATTTTTATTCCAAACTATCATAAACATAACCTCTATAATTTTTTTTTACCCCTTGGGTCCCTTTCTTGAAAGCGCATCAAAAACATTCATGTCACGTATTATGCATGTGACACACTGAAAAAAAAATTTATTTGATTCAAATACCGGTGTATTTAATTATTATCAAATAAATATTTACTTGAATCAAATATATAGTATTTGAATCAAATATTTCAGTATTTGAAGCAAATACCATTTATTTGATTCAAATAAGAAATATTTGATTCAAGTAAATATTTATTTGATAATAACCAAATACACCGGTATTTGAATCAAATAAATTTTTTTTTCAGTGCAGAAATGAAATATAGAATATATAATAATGTTATATGTATTATTGAGTAAGCAAAATATAGCTTGCTTTTCGCAAGATCTTACATCTTTACTTTTCAGAGAGGGAGTACTCCGTGCTGAAGAACTTCCGCTTCGCGACGGGGGTCTGTCCTTAACAGAGGTTGTACCGGAACCGGAAGTTGGACCTCCATGGCCAGAAGAGCCATGCTTCTCCAGTGTACCATTTTCACGTGGCTCTATATGTTCACCATTTGCATGAGGTGACGTTATCTCCTAAGTATATAATTATATCAATATACATATATATATATGTATTTATATAAGCTCTGTAGTCAGAATTTTTTTTGGTAAAAGCTAAAGAAAGGGAGTGTCAAACAAAAAAGTTTTTTTCTATCATTCAAAAGGCATGAATATTTTCTAAAAATCATTAGTTAAATTTTTCTCTATTTCGAAATTTATTAGCTTGAATTTTTATTTAAACAAATCATTATTATTAAATATAATAATTTTCAAAAAAAAGTATAATTAGTCGTATATAAATCAATCATTCGACTTCAAAGTTACGTATACTATAAAAAAAAAACTTACCTCACTGGCAACATCTACCACAAGGTCTTGGTCACTTTTTTCCCCATCACTTTCCTGAAAAAAAAAGAAAACATTTTTTAAAATTATTTTTATTTTACAATTTTTTATTTAAAAATTATTTTATTCATATATACTACAGTGAAACCCACCTATATCGGATTTCAAGGGACCGGAAAAAAAATCCGATGTCACTCTCTAAATTTGAATTAGTAAAAATGTTTACTAATTTAAATTAGTGACTCACTTTTTGCTTTAGAATTAGTTAAATTTAACTAATTGTTAGTAAAATTTTACTAATTCTGAAGCAAAAAGTGAGTCACTAATTCAAATTAGTAAACATTTTTACTAATTCAGATTTAGAGAGTAGCGGGAATCCGAATTATGCGGGTGGACCGATATACGTGGGTTAACCTGCGTACTAATTTTTGTTTTGTATTTTTTTCAAAATTGAGCAGACGACTTCGATTCGCAGACAAATTTTGATAAAACTAATTTGCAGACGGATGTTCAAATTATTAATAATTTATTAATTTAGATAAGCAATTTTGTATATTAAAGTATTCAACATTATTAATTATCTTTTTATTCATATATATAGACTAATTATAAGAAATAAAGACATAAAAGATTAATTACATAAGAAACATTTGGAACGATTTGGAAAAAAGTAAGATTACAATTTATGGAATTTATTTTGTTTATTATACCTGCATTACGGGAAATAATTCGAATGATTAACTTATACTATTGTTATTATAGGAAAATAGTAAAAAAAATAAACTCTTAAATCTCTTATAAACACTGGATCAAGAAAATCTCGTTTCCTGCTATTAAGAACTTATTGTCCTTATAAGCTTAATATTTATTACTCACATTTCTGAAAAAAATGCATGGCATTGATAAATTATATTATTTTCATTGTGTCAGAAGTCTAATGTATCAGGCTCAAAGGAAATTAATGTTAATTGTAAAATATGATAGTTATCCAAACCATAAAATACAATTTTCAATTTTCATTATAATGTCAAATATTAAAATCCATATTAACATCCTATAATGATGTTAAATGAAAATTCTGCTAAGAGTGTCGAACGGTCTCTGAAATTCTTTGGCAAAGAGAGACTTTCAATTATCGAAACACGGACACTTTTTACAAAATCGGCCAAAACACCAAGGATCCTTATTGTAGAAATTTCCTAAATCCGAAAGATTTTTCGAATCCATAAAAAAACGCCAATTTGAAACGAAAAGTAGGAAAGTAATGTCATAATATCTGCGACTTTGTGCTCCCTGCATACTTCTGCCATCTGACGGCGGCAGAACGTAATACAGATGTCATTATATTACTTTTCTACTTTTCGTTTTGAAATCGCGTTTTTTTTATGGATTCGACAAATCTTTCGGATTTAGGAAAGATTTTATTAAAATTGAAAATCAAAGTGAAATTACACCATCCAATCCCAGGACTTTGAAATTTTTTTTTTTAATTTTTAGGAAGAAAAAAATGTAACTAAACATTGCAATAGAAATATTGGCACTATTTTCGCTAAGAACCTTTAACATTCAAACTACATATATATATATATATATATATATATATATATATATATATATAATATTGTATAGATGTGGATCCAAGGTGCTTTGCGGATCCCTCGTCAAATTCTGTTCGGTACATTTCCGTCGATTTCATCGATAGAGATTAGAGATTATGTGCGAGAGACACGCAATAAATTTGTACACGGACGATGAACCTGGGGTAAATAGAAACCTATAATAGTAGGTATTGATTTCTCTCACACCTATATCAAATTTATATAACAAGCTAACTATCCAATGACACATTTCGAAATTACAGTTTGTATATAAAATAACTCCCCGGCGATGATGAACGTTGTACATTGGTTATCAGAATGAAAATATTTTTATTTAAAAAATATTAGTACATACAGTTTAAGCTCATTCGAGATAGAAATATACAATTATAAATTCTTTACTGGTTTGTATTTCTCAGAGAAATTTTTTTTTTTGAATCAAATATACCATTCTTTTGGTATTATTAACCAAAATTTTTTTTTATTCCAAACAAAACTTGTTTGATTTAAAGAAATATTTATTTGATACCATTTTCGAACGAAGGAAGAATTTCTTATTAAACAAATTTTCACTTAACAGAATTCTTATGTAACGAATTTTTATTGTACAAAATTCTTAAAACGCCGAATTTTTATTTGTCCGAAATTGCAAATGACAATTGTTTGTTCGGCCATTTGCAATTTCGAATAAATAAAAATTCGGCGTTTTAAGAATTCTACCAAATAAAAATTACCTAAAATTTCTTTAAAAAAGAAATTTTGACAAGTGTTAAATTCGAAAAATGAAAATTGGTTTAAAAAATAATTATATCTAATAAAATTTGTTGGAAATGAAAATTCTAACTAATGATTTTAATGGGATAATCATGCGCCCTGATTTTTTTTTTAGAAATACATAGATAAAAAAACGGAGGAAAAAGTATATATATATACGCGCAGTAAATGAAACTGCAAGAAGTGTGGACGGTGTCTTCCCTTCTTTTAACCTGCTCGTTCTTGCGTTAAATATGATACAAATGTTATCATCTCTTCTATTTCAGTTCCTCCTCTCTTCTTGTATACAGGCAACGAGTCACCCTCTAAAACTCTCATCCTTCCCTCCCGCTCAAAAAAAAACCACTGACTACTTTTTTCTCCTTTCATTTCTTCTTTTTTTCTTTTTCTCTATACTCTCTGAACCCCACAAAGAGAGGGGGTGAGAGAGAGAGAGAGAGAGAAGTGCGCGGGGACGACGCGGTATTAAGGGCAGCTCTATTATTCGACTACCCACCACCTTCACCACTACCACTCGACTCTCCGCCTCAAGAATCCTCTAATTTTTTCCCTTCCCTTCCGCTTCATCTCCCACAACCACCACTATGCTTCTCGACTTCTTTATTCCATCGCATCACATCGCCTCGTTCATTCTGTAAACAAGCGCAACCTGACCTCGCAGAGCTTCAATTCCAGTTATGCGGCATTTTGTATATATATATACATACCACGATTTGCCTCATATTTTTTTATTGTTTTTTTTTACAATTTTACAAAATAAAATTTTACTTAATACTATATATATATATATATAAAAGGAATTTTATTTCAAAACAACTCCACCCCTCCCCTTGTAATCAATTGACTATGTAAGAAAATTTTGAAATAAAGAATGACGCTAAAAATATCTGTTTTTAGCCCATTTTTCGGACCTCGAATTTTCCAATGAAAGATATTCTAAAATGCGTCATATGAAGGAATATTAATTTCATAACTATTTTGAATAGAAAATATCCTTTGTATATACCTAGTGTTAAAATGGGGTTTTAGAGGGGTTAAAGTACCAAAAATATAATATGCTCCGAATAGCTTGAAAGTTTTTACTCGCGGGTTATTGGGGTCGCTGATTACGAATCCGATGTCAGTTTTTCAAAATTCAAAATGGTGGATCCAATATAGCAGACGAATTTCGAATAAACTTAACGTATTTAAAACTTATTAAAGTAGTTTCCAGTGATTTTAAAGTGAACTTAAAATATTCATCCATTTTGAATTTTAAACAATTAACATGGGATTCATAATCAAAGGCCCTGCACTCTAAATCTGAATCAGTGAGAATTTCATTGAAATCAATCAGTGGCTTAGTTTTCTTTAATTCACCAGTAAAATTTCACTGACAATCAGTGGTTTTTACTGATTCTCAGTGAAATTCCACTGGTGAATTAAAGAAAACTGAGCCACTGATTTGAATTCAGTAAAATTTTCACTAATTCAGATTTAGAGTGTGAAAACCCCCGAGTAACCAGTTTCAAACGAATCTGAGCATTTAAAAAAAAGTCTGCCGCCATATTAAATGCGCCATTTTGAATTTTGAATAACTGACATCGGATTCGCAATCAGCGACCCCGAAAACCACCGAGTAACTATTTTCAGATGAATACGTTAAATTTTTTCAAAAATTGTCGGCCATATTGGATCCGCCATTTTGAATTTTGAAAAACGGACACCGGATTCGTAATCAGCGACCCCAAAATCCTCCAAGAAAAAAGTTTCAGGCGATTCGAAGCATATTTTATTTTTGATACTTTAACCCCTCAAAAACCCCATTTTAACACTATATCCAAAAAACAAAGGATATTTTCCACTCAAAATAGTTATGAAATTAATATCCCTTCATATGAAGTACACTGAGAAAAAGAATTATTTGTTTCAAATATAAAGATCAGTTTAAAAGTTTTTGTTTAACCCAACACAGTTTTTATGTTTAATTTTAATATATAGAAAATATTTTCTACTTTGGCTTAAAATTATTATTTCTTTGAATAATTATGTTTGATTCAAACATATTTTCTGTTTGGCTTAAACTGAAAATATGTTTAAAATTTGTATGTTTGATTTAAACATAAAAATTTATTATGAAAAAATTGAAATCAACCATAATTTATGTTTAAATTAAATATATTTTCACATTGAATCAACCAGAGAATATATTTAATTTAAACATAAATATGTTTGACTGTATAACAAAGCTATTTTAAGTTTGGGTTAAACATATTATGTTTGAATCAAACATATCGTTTTCTCAGTGTACTATAGAATATGTTTTATTGCAAAATTCACGGTCCGAAAAATATGGAGAATTTTACGAAAAGCTGATAACTCCGATCTTGGTTTATTTTTCAATATTACAATTTTATTAAGGGCAGGTCAAAGATTGGAATTTAAAAATGATCAACCAACTAATTTTGTTGGCCCAACCAAATATTTGGTTGAGATAACTCTACGACTTTGTTTCAGCCAATGAAAATTTGGTTACAAGAATCAAAATAGCCTAACTAAACGATTTTGTTGCAAATACAAAATCTGTTTTTTTTCAGTGTGACTTCATTTTATTAATTTTTTTGAAGTTTAGATTAATTTGAAATACGAAAATTGAAAAATCAATTTTAAATCAATTTTTCGTAGACTTTTCGATCATTATTAAAA